ATGGGGGTAGAGACCTGTTACCTGCATAAGGATTTCTGAAAATCTCTCAGTAATTCACAGCCAGGTCCAGATGTTTAAATTACTAAGTTGAATAGCCCTTAAACCTATTATAAGTGTTCTTAAACATGGTTCAGCATTTTCTCAGGAATTCCAAATTTTTTTCCTCAAATAATAGAGAACAAAGAGAGCGAGAGCAGGCTGAACTCGATGGAACCAGTGGTCTGGCTGAGGTGGACCCAGAACCAATTATTGTTAATCCTTTCCAGCCGATAGCAACCGTAATCATTGAGGTATGGATAGTGGCAAATGTAACTTTTATATCTTAACTTATAAAGTTGGAAGTTAAGAAAAGCGGGGAGTTGAGAAAGGAGGCAGGGAGATAGAAAGAAGTGTTTCACCGGAGGCTGATTATTTCTAAAAGAATTAAATGGGAGACACGGGTTAAAGGTTTGCTGCTTTTTCTCCCTTTTCAAATTTACCTTCTAAACTAGTATAAAAAGGGAAGATGACTTCAGAATTAACCAAGAATGAAAATTAAGATTGAAAGTAGCAACTATAATAGTTACTGTTCTGATAAATCTTTTTTTTTTGTCTTTTATTTCATGTGGTAGTAATATATTTACTCTTGTTTACATTGTCTTTGTCCCTGAATTGCTCTTACTGTTTCTTTACAGTCATGTTTCGATGCTTATGGTGTATTAGAATACAAAAATGATTTCCTAATTATTTACCCAGGTCACTTAAGAATGTTTGAAACTATAATAAATTCTTCTATCTGTTAATATTATTTATTTTAATTGTCAGAAGTTTCATCAAAATTCATTTGTAGATTTTAATTATGAAGAAGTTAAGGCGTTGTGTGTGTGTGTGTGTGTGTGTATGTGTCTGTGTACCTGTCTTTGTTTTCGTTTTCTACTGGTGTCCAGAGTTGGCACTGGCCCTGCCTTCCTCGCCCTCAGCAACCATGCCTCCCCCGAGGCAGTGCTTCCTAAACCTGCTCTCTATTCACTGGGAGCACAAAGTGGCAGGTGGCTCACTGGTCCCACTGCCTGTATGTTCTCCATTCCTCTTCCCCTGTCACTGCCTCCTTCCACACAGGTGCTCATCTGGAAAGGTGGATGCTTGTTTCTCCTTGGGGCTGCTGCTGAGGGAGGCAGCTCCGCAGGTAAGAAGATGATTGGATCATTTTAGTATTGCTTTATTTTGCAAAATAATTGGTAATATGAAATAGTTGCTTTCAAGTTGCTTAGGTACCAGAAGGTTAATTGTATTTAATCATTTTATTAGCCCCATTGACATTTAGCTTAAGTGTGTGCTTTTCTAAGTATAATAAAGCCATCTTAATAACGTGAACAATTGTTTTGTCTCCGTCCTATTTAATATTATGTTTGTTAAGTTTTATTTTATGCTCTTTAAACATATTGGTAGAGAAGAGGGAAATCAAGTTTGACATTTTACTTTCAAACGTTAATTTACTCTATATATAATAAAGCTCACCTTGTAAATAATGACCAATTATTTTGTAGTACCATGGTTACTTAGAAGGCCTTAGTGCTTTTACCAGCATTGTATTTTTCACAGCATAAAGATGTGAACAATACAGAATAGTATATCTTATATTTAAAGTCTCTGAATCAATCAATGGCATGGGGAAAGTGCAGTTATTGTGCTTTTAAAGCTATAATAATTTTAAGAAGATGATCATTAAAGAGATGAAACAAATGAAAAATTACCTATAGTCTCGTTTATACCAAGTTGATTTTCTTTTTTTCCCCTCACAAAACTCCTCCTTTAAATGTTTGCATTTTAGAGAAGCACCTTACATTCCTTTTATTTTTACCACAGATAATAAAAATGGTGAGGTATTGGTTCCAGAACAGACGGACAGATCAATAGACATTATTGTTGATAAACATTGAATACATCTATGTATGAGCATTTCGTGAAAGATAAAGGTGACATTTCAAATGTGGGAGAAAAGGAGGTTGGAATAACTGAACAATTATTTGGAAAAAAGTAAAATTATTAAACATGAATAACAAATTAAATTCCAGAAGACTTAAATGTATAAAAAAAGAAGCCTTAAAAATACCAGCACATAAATATAGTTAAACATTTGTGTATGTGTGGAGGAGGAAAAACTTTCAAAGCAGGGTAATCAAGCTACAAATCAAAAAGTGAAAATAGATAGATCTTATTATATTCAAATTTTTAAGAGGTGTTCTGCAAAGTTAAAGGCAATAAAACCCAAGCAAACCCTAATTAAAAACATTTGAGACATATAGGACAAAAAAAGAACCCTTAAAAATTACTATGAAAATATGATAATCTAATAGAAAAGTAGATATTGGGTCACCATGGTAGTTCCCTAACAAAAAAATAAAAATGGCAATAGGGTATTTAATAATCCATCTTCACTAGTAACAAAAACAATAAGCTAAATCAAACCAACACTGCAGTAAAACATTTATTAGTTTGACAGATATAAAAGTTTGATAGTGATACACAGCATTGAGAACTATATGGGGAAATATTACTCTCCCAACCTTTTACCTGGGATGTAAATTGACTAGTTTTTCTGAATGAAAGTTTGTAGTGTTTCACATTTTAAAATGTGCTTACCCATTGATCCAACAGTTGCACTATTCGGAACTTATTCTAAAGAACTAATTCAATCTTGGTATTTCTTTTAATAGTGAAAAATTGAAAATAACTTCTTTGTCCATTGATTGGGAATTGGTAAAATAAGTTATAATATAACCATTCAAAGTGATAATGTAATTGAATAAAGTAATAATAACTAACACATACAGCATTATGTAACACTTTACTAGTTGTCAGGCACTATTCTAAGCACTTCATATATTCAGTGACAAGGAAAGAAATATATATTAAATAAAATCTTCAATTCTTTTTTGTTTAAAAAACAAATACAAATATGATTATATAGAGAGAGACAATTCATCACATTTATGTATGTTTGTGGGTGGTGTATGTCTGTATGTGTGGCAAAGAAAAGCACCTCTTGATTATATGCCAAATAGTGATCATCTCTAGATTGTGGAATTACTGGTAATATTTATGTCCTTTATTTATACAGTCTGTTTTCAAAATGTTTGGCAATTAGCATATTTTAATGATATCTTCAACAAATAACTTTTTAATAGAAATATGACAGTTCCCCGAAGTTACAGAATGCTCTTGGATTGTTTGATTTCTCCCTTAAAACTATCTTATATGCAACTGTAATATTAAAGATGACATATTTCACTTTTGTTAGAATGAAAAAAAACTTGAAAAAGAGAAAAAGAGGCAAAATATGGAGAAAGACAGTGACGACTGCCCCCTGAAACATAAAATGGAGCATGAGCACGTAGAGACACAGAGCCAGATCAGTGACAACAGCCAGAAAAACAATGAGTTTGGAATAGTGGAAAATTATAAGGAAGCGTTAACACAGCAGTTGGAGAATGAAGATGAGACAGACCAGCCATCATCAGAATCAGGTGATAAAACTAGTCATTAAATAAAAAGATATACATAGTCATTATACTTTTTTCATTTGTTATGGTTATATTCACAAAAAATGTACTGTAATATTTTTTGTCTCCAAATGCAGTATTTGTCATGGTTTTTAGTTACTCAGTCAATTTGCTAACTTGCGTTTTTATTCATTATCCTTTAAAATGTAGCTTTTTGTAACTTAAAAGAATTTCAGCAGAAATTTTAATTTCAGTTTCATAAATTTGGAGTATAGCATAGCTCCAGGAATCCTTGGAATGTGTTTAATACCTTTAAGACTTTTTTGTGTTTTTTGTTTGTCTTCAAGCCTCATAATGCTACAATCAGCATCATTTCCTTTATTAACTTGCTATTTCTGTAGGATGCAGACATGATCACTTGAACATTTTAAAAGCCTTATCAAATAGCCATGTTCCTCTTATTTTAATATCATATAAAATCTTTTTTCTAAGTGGTTGTGTGATTTAACAGTAAGTTCATGTCTTTTGGTCTCAGAGAAAGACAGCCTGTGTTTGGAATCAAACAACCTGATATAGAATCCTGACTTTTCCATCTACTAGATCCATCTTATGTTATATAATGTTCTTCAGTCTTGGTTTTTTTCACCTCCAAAAGGGAAATAGGCATCATCTTTTTTTCACAGTGCTTTTCGGGTTACTTTCAGTAAAAATAACCTGATGATATTCTTAGCACGGGGCCTGACACATGGGGATACCCAGTAACTATTACTGCTTTGCCATTCCTAGTTAGCAATATGGTTCCATTGTACAGTATATAAGGATTTTTGTACAGTATCAATGAGTTGATGAAAATAAGATCTCAATCCCTGAGGTGCAGATTAGTTAACATGAATATTTTGCTATATAAAAAATAATTAGATTTGAAAGTTATACTTTTTGTAAGTTGGGAGGTTTGGGTAGCCATGCAGCGGAGTTGGCAGAAAGTAGACCTAAAGTGGCCTCTCAATATATTGAAAGAACTCTTTTTAACACTAATACATTGTTAAAGAGCAAAATGATTTGGCAGATGACTTGAAAGTAAAGCGTAGGAATATCTGAGATAGTGAATCATATAACTATAATTATTAGTGTTATTTTAATTAACATTTTATAATTTAGAACATGGTTTCAGATGCCTCATATATATTATTTAACAAAGCAATCCTAGGATATATTATTCCCATTATATGGAATAGGAAACCCAGGGACTTGGAGAGGCTGAGTAACTTATTTAAGATCATATGCCTCATCTGTGGCTGGGCTGAGACCCCCACTTCAGATCATGCTTTCTCTATCATCTTTTGCTCTTCCAAGACCTGGAGCTACTGCCCTTGCTGAAGTACTGTATATTTCTGGAGGCTCTTTTGCCTTTCTCCAGCTTTAAAGCTCTCAGCTCTAATTGTAAAATGATGTCTTTGTTTCTATTTGGAATAAAATGTCACAAATGACACTCGTCTATTTAGAAAAATAACATGTTTCCAAACACATATATTTATATTTCTCATTGCTTTGTAGCTTTCATAGATTGACTATTTCTTGTGTAACAGAATTCCCATTTTCGAAAATGTACTACATATCTATAAATTTAGCAGTGTGGGATTGTCAGTGAAAATATTTCAGTAACTGTGACCTTTGCTTATTTAACTATTATGACAAACTGGTTTACATTGTTTAAGTTTACATGTTAACAACATAGATGTCCTTAAAATGTTTATATGTGCTTAAGTGAGAATCTGTAAATAGTTATCGTTAGAAAGAACAAAAATTCATTTCTGCAAGGTCCAATAATGTGATTTTGGTTGTATATATTTATATGGAGCATACATTGTTTGGGGGTTATTTTAATGGGTAATGTGTTTAGATTTAGGGTCTTTTTTCACATTTCAAAGAATTATTTTTGGACTATTTACCTAAAATCATTATGTATATCCTATTGAGATAAATCAACACTTCTCCTATTTCCCCAGGCCATTTTGAGTTTTATGGAAATCTCTGCAATTAGAAAATTACATTTATTTAATATGCATTTGGAAAAAGATAAGTTACTTTTGAAAATGTGAACTTTTTTTGTATTCTGAATAATCTCATAAAATTTAGAATATAGGCTTTTTGTTATTTGCACCATACATGTTAATCATTTATTCAATAAGCAATCATTTTAAAAATATTACTCTAAGTAAAAGCAAGCTCACATTTTGTTATTGGTTGAATTGAAGATATATTTCTGTGGTACTAATAAAGTCAATATTCTAGTTCTATTCTTAATTTTTATTATAGAAGTTTACTTTTTTCCAAAGGCATAAATAAAGTTCTATGTTTATGTTCTTGTAGATAACAGTAAAAAGAAAACTAAGAAACTAAGAATAAAAAGGAGTCACCGTGTAGAGCCTGTCAATACAGATGACCCTGCTCCTAAGAGCCCAACACCACCCCCACCTCCTCCTCCTGGTGAGTAAATTGATATTGACACTGAATATAGAAATGCTGCTTTAAACAATGAAGAAAAAGAAAAAAAAAATTGTGTAGTTTTTATTCAAGAGATTCATTAACTTGAGAATTTGTGAAAAAGGTAGAATTCTTTACTCTGCCTGCTTTGTTCAAAATTTGTCAACATAAATATCTATTGCTTCTTTTAACCAGAAAAAATGTTTTATTAAAGTTAAAAAAAAAAGTTACATTAATAAGAAAACCTTACGTAGGTACTTCCTAGAATCGATTCAATTCATATTTGAAATATCAGTACCCAGATTGCTAAAAGGAGTTTAAGTTTAATGAATGGATGGCTAATAGGAACTAAAAAAAAATTGCATCTTTCATTCTGAAAGTTAACATTTGAAAACAAGATGTGTGAATTTTTCCATTATATTTCCAACATACATACCGACCTTCTAAGTGGTTATGAGGATTAACTGTAATACTGCATGTAAAGCACTGGGACATAACTAACTGCATAATAATTGTGAATAATTTTTAGTACAAGACATAGTACCACTTATAGTATAGGTGGTCAATAAATATTTAAATGTAAATGTTTTTAGTGTCCTTTTAGCTCTGCTAGAAGGCTTTAGATGGTAACATTTTCTTGGAGAATTATTTGAAGACTCATTTCTAATGTTCAATTTGATAAGTAAACATTTCTTTTAGCCTCTGCTAGGGGTTACAGTAAATAGCCTAAGGTTACTTATGATAGTGGTGAAGATGCTTATATTTTTAACTAAAGGTAAATGAAAATTTAAATCAAATGTTACCAACCTAAAATTACATTTTTAAATAGAAGACGTTTAAAATGGATTTATGGCTATTCAGTATTGTGTCCTCTCGTATATGAACTGACATCGTATGTTATATACATTCCTGTCAAGGGAGGGATCCTCTCAACAGACCCAAGGAGACATTGTTTAACAGTGTTTTAAATGTTTTTCTTTTTCTTCAGTTGGCTGGGGAACCCCTAAAGTCACTAGACTTCCAAAACTTGAGCTTCTTGGTGAAACACGTCATAATGGTAATGCAAAAGGATCAGTTTTCAAATACCTATACATATCACAGTCACTTTTCTTTACCTCATTACTTCAACAGACTTTTATTTTTGAAAGCCTTTCAAATCCATAGTCATCCTTTTTCATTATACGTACTTTGCTTTTTCCATTTAATTTATTTTTTTTTATTCTTAAGTCCCTTTGACTCTATATAATTTGATTTGATGTTTACCTTAGACTACAGAGGTGAAAAAATAATCATAGCTTGTGTGTATCCATTATATATTTATGTAAATAGTGATGGAAAGGGAAAGGTTTTAAAGCAATTTAAATTAAGTAGACATTACAAGTATAGTGCTAAAAAAGCTGCATTGCCCTATATGTGCTCAATATACTCAGTGATGCCACATAATCGTTCTTTGTCTGCTTCTAAGAAGACACGTAGCTGCTGAATATTAAAATGAAGATCAACACAATTGCAGAATCAGAGATCAATCAAGCATACCAAGTAAAGTTCACCTAAATAGAAAGTTACTGAAGACTTTATTGCCTCAAGAAAACAGTTTTCTTTGGATGAAATTAACATAAGGGGTAGTCCAGCCAGGATATGGCAGTAGAACTGCACTCTAGAAAACTAGAGAAAGGACTGTGGGAGTAGGGAACTGCCTGATACAACAGGCAGAAGCTCTGATTTCAGACCATCGGCCTAGATTCTTTCAATAAATATTTCCAGAATGAAAAAGGATACTTATATATATGGAGCTCAGTAAACCTCTCCATCAAGAACATCCAGTTCTCTTTTCGATGACTCTGTTTGCCTAATCTAGAACTTGGTGTCCCATTTATTAGAAAAAAATGTCAGAAGTTTAAGCTTTAGAAAAACTTACCCATATAATTTGAAATGATATCAAAGTGTATAAAATGTTTTTATTCAAAAAGTATATAAATGTAAATGTGCTATTTACTTTCTTTTTCAGAATACTGTAAATCAGTAATGAAATATTGCTTTATAATCATTAGTAAAAATGAAAGGATTTGCTTTCATTTCTAAAGACAGAAAAGTTTGTCCTTGGGCTATGTCAGAATTGCAGTGACAGCACATCTGTTTGGTTGACTACTTTACATCACAGTGTTTTTATTGACTGTGATAGGTTAGTTCCAGTTTTATTCTACTCTGAAATTGTATAGGTTAGAATACATTTGTCAGTTTAAATATTCATTGTGATGTTAGAAAAAATTACATAATGTTAATATGTGTTTATATATGTATGTATATGTACATATATAGAGAGAAAATATTAATTTTTCCTATGACAGATATTTTTTCTCTTACTGAATCAGGCATCCAACAAATAACTATTTTGAATTTGACAACACCTAAAATATTGGTGATATCAAGATGAATAAGACATAAATTCTGCCTTTCTGGAGATACTCATCTAACACAATGCTTCAGCTTACTATAGTATATATGACAATTCACAATACCCAGTTAAACGTTCTATGGTGCAGAATTGGAGTCTGTGTACAAATTGCATGGATGGTAGTGAAAAATGGTATTAGAACTGGGTCTCTAAAGAACAAGAAGAGGCAATAAGCAGGAGAAACAGACTATTCCAAGGTAGAGAGGTGGGAAAGGACATTGCGTATTTGGAAAACAGTATGAAGTTACTTGTGACTAGAGCTTATATTCACATGGGTAGAGTGGGTAAGAGAGAGGAAATTTAAGTTATATAGGGAGCATTGAAACTGGAATTACGGTTTAGGGCCAGATTGTGAAGGGTCTCACATGTATGTTAAGATGGCTGGATCTGCTGTAATTCTATAAGAGACACTATACATTGTTAGCAAGGAAATAGTGTTACTAGATTTGTTGTCTGGGAAAACAGTTTTTGACACAGTGTGAAGCACAGACTTGATATGGCCACACCTGAGGTAAGGAAGGACCCCAGCTAGGAGGCTGTTGGAGTAGTCAAAGTGAGAAATGAGGAATGGAAACTGAAATGGAGAATAAGAAATGTATGCAAGGAATATTTTAAGAAGTAATATTTTAATAAGTAACATTTGATGAATGGATGTGTGGGCTGAGGGGGAGCAGAATAGAGGATTATTTAGTTCAAGGGGCTGGAAGGTTGGTGCTACCTCTAAGATTGAAAATACATGAGGAAGAAAGAAAAACACACGAGGAGGAAGGAAACCTGCTTTGGGGGTATGGGTAGGCTTATCTATTTGGAAACATCTGTAGTCCAGTAGAAGTAAGATTCTGGAGCTCAGGAGAAAAGAAGGGACCCGGGTGGATGGGAGGGTGTGTAATAGATTTTTTTGTTTCAGTTGTTATCACACGATATGAATGCTTTGCCCATAATGCATGTTCTGTAATTGGTTTACTGAATGAATGCAGTTGAGGGAATGATAGCTTCCTATTTCTGAGGGAAAGTATAGAGAATGAGGAGAAAAATTACTAATTGTAGCATCAAGGGGAAACATTACAGTTAAGGGAAGTTGAAAATGAGCTAAGGTTGTTTTTGTTTTCTTTTGTTTTTCCTCACTTTCTTGTGTTTGTTTTTAAATTAGAACTCCTGGGAAAGAATTATAATA